TTTTTTTTCTCTTCGAGCTTGCTACTTCGAATGATTTCCGTCCCATTTCCTGACTGCAATCCTGCAATACTCACATTTGATAGGTTCTATCCCTCTCCTTGTTTTCATTATTGTTGTTATTTATGTAAGGGATAAATAGTACGGTGTCTGGAAGCGCAATGCGGGTTCGATTCCCGTTCGAGGCCGTAATTTTGCCCACAAATCGCCAGACTCGTGACACTTTCACGTCGCGTACTGCGGCGAAATAACAACATTTACAAAAAGTCATCTAATCAAAGCAACTCATTATTATTTATTATTATTTAATATTACTTATTATTATTGTTGTTATTGTTAATTATCGTTATTATTATTACTACTAGCCAAGAGCGCGGTGCTTAGGAAGAAATAAGAAGGGGTCGAGTTCCATTCGAAACTAAAATTTTGCCCACAAATCGCCATTTTCCCGAAATTATTTTTATTAATATCGTAATTATTATTATTTTCCAGTTCCGGATCACTCTATAGTTGCCGCCATGTTATTGGTTTAGCTCTTTCGGTGGCAGTTCTTTTGTTTTTCTCGAGATTGTTCGTAACAAACGCTTGGTCCATTCCCAATCGTACACCTTCACGAAATGTCTTTCTGGACGTTAGCGATGACTCAACGATCATCTTTACGATTTTCCCAGTTTACAACATGATCGTGAATGAAATGGGATACTTCTTCATAGTCGTAACGCCCATAAATTTGTATTTCTTGGCTTTAGTCTGCCTTTTTTTCCACGCAGGAATCGAATTTTCGTTTTCCCTAGCTATCGGGAAGTTTCCAAGACCTCATAGTCATCATAGGTTCACGAAAATCGGGGCAATGCTGGATTTTATACAAAAAATCGTGTGGCTATTTAGTTTCCAGAACATAAAGCGATCAGAATGACTACAGCATCCGGTAGGAATCAGTTCCAAGACTCAAGTCGACTACGCTCAGGTCATGTCACTACTTCGATCCGATCGGCGATGACAGTAATCCATTAGGGAGGATTGATAGACTGATCGGTTCGCTTAGGATATTCCATTTACTGGACAGAGCAGTCGCCGGGCAATTCATGACCGTGCTTTCCTTCCCCGAGCCATCAGCCCCACTGAGGGAGCCATTGACATTTTTAATATCAACTTTTTTGATACCATTTTTCAATTAACTGTTTGCCGATGCATCAGCTTTGGGAGGATGAATGGCTCGGGTGGCGGAAGGGATCGATCCGGGTTCCGATACCAGGCTACTACGAGTTCTAGTTGCCTCACCCACCGGAACCACACCTTTGCACACTTGGCCACATAAACCACTTGCCTGATTTTTCAAATTTATTTTTTTGTTTATTTGTTTATTTATCTGTTTATACATGAGCCGGGAACTTAACCTCTCTTCATCAGATCTTACTCACTTTTATCAAATTTTGCTGGTCCAGTAAAGATCGGATGCCTATGGAAAGGTTCCGGACAAGAAATTCGAGAACCGACGCCCGGAAAATGACTTCGCCCAATCCTCTTTGCCGGAGTCTTATCTCTCATCTTCAGAAGGCTTTCCTTCCCTGAATCTCTCGTTTTCGCAATGCCTTTAACGGAAAATTCCCATCATCTTCGTCGTCCTTTTTGGGAAACGACGTGACTGCTGCAGAATGATGGGGACATTTTTCTGACGAACGCAATTATTGTTTAGTCAGTGGCCAGGCTCGGCTTTTCATCGTCAATTCTCACGGTTCGACCCCATATCGTCATTTTGATGGCTTTACAACGACCAGTCGAATCCGGCGAAGCACTTAACCCTTGGTCTTTTCCTTCCTTCTCTTTTTCTTCTGCCTAACCTCATTGTCAAGGTGTCCTTACATCGAAAATTTTTCATCCTCCTCTCCTTGCCTCCTTAGTTGATTGTTCAGGTTTCTCCCAATGCGCTCTTGACAACCACAGACGAAGTTCCTGTTCACTACTCCCTTGACTGGTGGTTTCCTCTCACGGTTGTTTATAGTCATGAGCATCACCAGTCAGAATCCTATCATAGTCCTGGAGTGAATCAGTTCGAAGTCATGCCTCATCTCACGAATCCCGCCCCCTCGTAGAGTAGACTTCTCATGCAGCGCGACCCGGTAGAATAAAATGCCCCTGAATCTATGTATGTCGTTGGTATTTGGTACTGCTTGTAGCTTCCCACTTCCATCTATTACCACATAGCAATTTATTATCCAAAAACCTACCCACACACGGTGAAAATATGGGTTAGGATTATGTGGTGGAGTCCCTATGCGTTCGATCCTTGGAAAGCGAGAAATTGATCCTATCTCTTATTTTTTTTACTTTCCTCCGGTGCTATGTGTCTTGGGGAAAGGTCAGTTTGGTATGAAGGTTCCCGTGGCTGGGGTTTTCTGAAAAAAAGGTGGACTTTTTGGCGCAGAATTGTGTGCTACCGTAGCTCTGAAAAAACCGTATCCCAGGCAGTGAAATTAATCATCGCAGTTTAGCCTTCCATACATCTCTTCCTCATCCACGTTTTGCCATATAGCCATTCATTTGTGTCGCGTTTGTCCCAACGTTTTTACTCAACGACAACGTGGACGGCTGGTGGTTTCAGATGGGCCGCGGCCCGTTGTGCTGCTGTTGTATGGCGAACAACGTGCGGCACATGGTTTTGGTGCTGACATCGGTCTGTATATCGGTTCTATTCACAAATCTTATTCTATTCAATCTAACTGCCGTACTTGACCCCGAATTGTCAACAGAATTGCGGCCCGTACCATCACTGGACAGTTTACATGAGTATACCATCTGGCACGGTGAGTTTCGCCTTTTTCGAATCCGGTTTACCTTCTCTCTTCACTTTTTTCTGAAAGTTTATGAGCCTATACTCATTGAAATCGACCATAAACTGCCTTTTTCAGATCGACGGAAGCGATCAATCAATGAAACAGATGACCCCAAATTGTCTTTCTCAGGTTCGGGCGAAGATAAAGAAGGTGAGTTCCTTCCTTTGATGGACGAGTCACTCTTGATCGATACCGAATTCAATCCACCCTTTATATTTCCTGTTGTTCCGGAAACCAATTTCAATATTGTGCAAAATGAATGTCAAGATAATCGGTGAACGATTCAACTGAAGAAAAATTGTACCCCTCCTGATGACTGCGGTTGCGACGCGGTTGCTAACCATTGGCGCAAAGCATTTTCAGACTTTCTGCTTTTCTTTACCGATTTATAAAAAAGACCTTTCGATTCAAAGTCGAACAGTAGAAATGAGAGCCACAGAAAAAAAGTTGACTTCTCCTCCCCAACTCTTTTCTCGTTGCTTTACCAAAGGAAAACGCTCAAAGCAATCGCAGTTGTTCCAGTTTTTCCAGGGATGCGAAAGAAATTTACTTTTACCCAAGTTTGTTTCGGTAATTAAATTGAACTTTTATTGGTGCAATAGCAACGGGATGGCACACGGTGTACAAGTAAAATTTGAACCCTCTCGAATAAGCCTAGCCATCTTGAGCTGTTTGAAAACTCCAATAACCATGACGGATTTCATCCAAGATCTAAACTCTACCCTTGTTGGTGGTACCAACGACGCCTGGCACGGCCATAGTTCAACCCATTGTTTCAACGGGATAGTATTGGATAGTATACCGCAGCTATCATTCGGCTTATACGAAGTTGTAAAGATCTAATATTAATCAGGTTGGATAGGTTGGATTATTTCCAATTTTTCGATTCAATGATCCACTCAAAAAGTGAATCGAATGCGTCGTTGGTCCTTGGAGCGGCCATCACTGCTTTTCACCTCAATCCCTACCCTTTACTGTTACCTCTTATTCGCTCTCCTCTGTTTTCAGGATGGGATTGAAGACTGATTTCAAGGTTGATTAAGTCGTACGTTTTTCTCCGAATAGTTGAGTGTAAAAATGTAGAGTATGAAGTGTAAGTTTCAAAAAAATTGGAAAAATGAGAAACCTTTGAGCGTTCCATGAGTTCATTTGCAAATTTGTATTCCGCAAAAAACGTTACTCGCCAGAACTAGTTTCGACTAATCCCCGGGCAGATTTGTGCTGTCGCATTGTCGCAAAGGCTTTTTTGGGTTTGTGACGTATATGAAACGCCGCACTGTGGGCGACGTTTCAGCGGAAAGGTACGGAAGTGGAATCCTAAGAGTAATTTAGGGGTAGAGGTAAGAAGGAAGAAGGGGATGGGCAGTAGGATCGGTTTTGCGTAAACGATTCGCCGCACGCGGCAGTCGCGTACCATTTGCCTCGTTGTTACAGCTCTAGCGTTCTTCATACAGCGCAGTCGATATGTGATTATTATTGTTGGCATTATTCTAATGTTAGTTCTGTTGTTCCCGTATTTCTTACTTGCTGCTGCATTCTGCAACATCTATTCGCGTACGGCGTCACTTTCGCCGCGACGCGACAACTTCGATCCTACTGCACCACCCCCAGGTAAGTACAGCTTGAAGGGCTAATAGAATAAGCTGGATAGAGACGGAAGAATTCGAAAGCGGAAAACAGGGTGCTGAATCGGTGGAGACGAATAACTGCAAAACTGTCGTAATTTCGTATTAGGTTGGCAAATAAGTCCTGCGACAAAAAATTTGAAGCGTTGAAAATTTGTATCAACAGTGTGAACACAGTAGCAAGGGTG